AAGTAATGAGCCTTCCAATTGAGATAATGAAAAATCAATTCATTTTTTAGTTGGAACTTTAGGCGGTTCTCGAAAAGAGATAGCGAAAAAAACTATCCCTAGAGTATATATTAAGAGGAATGTATAAACTAATGTTTTCATAAATTCGATCATGGTTTACAATTATAGTTTTCGTGCATGTTTATTTGGAATCATATCCTGAATAAAATAAAGAAAAGGAAAGGAAAGGAAAATACAACGGTTTTAATAAATATTTTTCCACCAGCCTATGTCAAATCATAAATAGAAAATAGAAGCAAAAAATAACAAAGCAAACTTGCATCAGACTACTTATCTTTTTATATTTGGATTTCCAAGTTTTTGGAATGCTTCAAATTCCACTTGAACATCCAAATCTGGATCAATATCGATAAAAACATCTCTAAACAGGGTTCTAGCACCATACCAAATATATCCGAAGAAGAAAAGCAAAGCAAACGAAGTATTCCAAAAGTAAACCCACCCCTCAGACTGCTACGAAAAACACCATCAGATTTCAAAGTAGCACGATCTAATTCAAAATTTTCACCCAATTGAGCATGTCTAGCATATTTTTTTCACAATAGTAGGATCAAGGTGATTCATGTGAGATCTAATATAGATCATACTTTCTATTCACTCGTGACCATGGCTCATCTCTTCTCGATATAACTCCTCCATGCATGTTCCACTTTGCTCAGGGGATATAGCTCAGTTGGTAAAGTTTCGCTCTTGTAATTAGGTCTTTGCGATTACAGGTTGGGTGTCTAATTTTCCATGCGGTAATGATAATATCTTGTACCTGATTTGGTGGTTTATTTTTCTATGTAATTGAGAAGAGGATCGAAATAGGCCATTGAAAGACTACTAAGAGATGGGTTGTCAATAATTTAGAAAAGGTAGGGTGGACGATTGGTCAGATCTAGTATGGATCGTACATGGATGGAAGTTGGAGTCAACGACTCTCTTAGGTTTCTCCATATAGGATCCTTAGGGAAGAATATCAAGTTGGCCCTTACAAACAATTTGATACACTATCTCACTCAAACTATTTCAGCAAAATATGACAAAATAAAGGAAAATCTACGAACCAACCTCATCGTCTCCACCCCCTAAGAACTACTAGATTACCCCAATGATGTCTTTGGTATTTAAGGGACACGAATCGACCATAGAACCCTGTTCAATAAGTGGAATACGTTAGTTGTGTTCTCTTAAGTTGGGCAGTAAGGGTCGGAGAAGTGCAATTACTTATTCTTAAAACCAATATACTTAAAACCATCATTCTTAAAATCAAAGAGTCGGAGGGGGAAAACTCTCCGTTCCTGGTTCTTATGTAGCTGAATAATCTTAAACTACAAAAATCCTAGTTATAATAGGATTCCAACTAAGCACATCTTGAGATTTTGAGAAGAGTTTCTCTAAGAAGAGTACAATATGATGAAAGTTGTAAGTTGTGTTTGGGAGGAAGTTATTGTCTATCGCTAACCTCTATGGTAGAATCAGTCGGGGGCCTGAGAGGTGGTGGTTTACCCTATGACAAATGTCAGCAGTTCGAGTTTGCTTATCTCTAACTTGTGAACTTAGCCGAAACAAATCTATATGATAGTATATAATTTTTTCGATTTAACAATTCGTTTTATGATTTATCATTCATGGACGTTGATAAAATGGTTCTATTTCGTTTAGTTGCACCTTAGGATGACATATCCTTGAAGTAAAGTTAAGTTAAGGGTAAGGTTCAAACGAGAAAAGGTTTACGGTGGATACCTAGACATCTAGAGACGAAGAAGGGTGTAGTAAGCGGCGAAATTTTTCAGGGATTTAAAAATAAGCATATATCCAGCAATTCCCAAATAGGTTAACCTTTTGAACTGTTGTTGAATCCATGGGAAGAAAAGAGATAATATGGCAAACTAAAACATCTTAGTAGTCGGAAGAAAAGAAAACGAAAGTGATTCTTGTAGTAGCAACGAGTGATATGAGAGTAGCTTAAACCATGAAAATGGGGTTGTGAGAGAGAAATAAAAGAGTTGTGTTGCTAGGTAAAATAGGGAAGTATTGAACCCTATATGGCGATAGTCTAATATGTGAAAGCATCACTGGCTTACGCTCTGACCCAAGTAGTATGAGACATGTGAAATCCCGTGTGAATCAGCAATGACCACCTTAGAAGGCTAAATACTATTGGATGACTGATAGTGAAGTAGTATCGTGATAGAATGGTGAAAAGAACCCCGATCGGGTAGTGAAATAGAACATGCAACCGTAAGCTCCCAAGCAATCGGAGGAGCCCAGGGCTCTGACCGCGTGCCTGTTGTAGAACGAGCCTGCTACTCATAGGCAGTGGCTTGGTTAAGGGAACCCACCGGAGCCGTAGCGAAAGCGAGTCTTCATAAGGAAATTATTACTACTTATGGACTCGACTTGGGTGATCTATCCATGACTAGGACGAAGCTTGGGTGAAACTAAGTGGAGGTCTGAACCGACCGATATTGAAGAATCAAAGGATGAGTTATGATTAGGGGTGAAATATCACTCGAACCCCAACTAATTGGTTCTCCCCAAAATACATTGAGGCACAGTAGTTGACTAGACATATAGGGATAAAACACTGTTTCGGTGTGGGCTGCGCGAACGATGACAAATCAAAACAACCTCTGAATACTAAATTTGATCTCAAAATAGCAAGGGTCGAGATCGACCAGTGTGACGATAGGGGATAAAATTCATCGTCGATAGAGGAAAAAAACCCGGATCGCCAACTAAGGCCCCTAAATAACCTCTTAGTGATAAAGAAGGTAGGGGTGCAGAGACAACCAGAAGGTTTGCATGTTTTTTGTTCGATTTAGGTAAAATTAGTTTAAATGTAGGGTCTGTTTGATAGACTATAATTGGTTTTCTAAAAAATAATTTACGTAAAATGGATTACTTGAAAACTGTTTTACGTAAAATGAATTACATGAAAAATCGTTTTACGTAAAATAAATTACTTAGAACCGTTTTACGTAAAATGAATTACATTTTCTGGGAAATATTTTTCACAAACTATTTTACGGTGTTTTGATAATATTGTTTAATTCATTTTCACTAATTGTTTGATTCACTATAATTTATTTTTATATAAAATGATTTACATAAAATGAATAAAGTTCGGTTCGGTTAAATTTTCAAAAAAAAATTGATTCAGATACGATTAAAGAAAAAAAGTTCAATTTATTTAGTTAATGATAATTCAATTCGATAGGTGGTTGAATTAACCATTTGAACACTCTTAATTTTAATTATTAGTATTTTATTAACATAATACTAAATATTAATAATTGAATAATATTATATTTATAAAAATAATAGATAATTATTAATAATCTATTATATATTACTAATTAAAAATATAATATCATATATTATTATAATATATTATTATAATATATCTAAGTATATATTAATATAATATTAAAATATAATATTATTAAAATTATATTATATGTATTTTAAATATTTTAATAATTAATATTTTTTATTAAAATGATATTAAAATATTAATTTAATATTATATGTATAGATAATATTTTTTTGAGTGTTTATACTATGAAGTGAAAAGTTGAGAAAATATTTTACAAAAATCAGATGGTAAAACAATTACGTAAAAATACAAAAGAACTAGAAAAATGAATTACATAGGAAAAATCAATTACAACTATCAAACTTTGAAAAATATTTTTCGTAAAACTAATTGCAGTTATCAAACAATGAAAAATATTTTCCGAAAATAATTTTTAACTATCAAAAGCAAAAAAATGTGAAAAATATTTTTTTAAAAATATTTTTTAACAATCAAACACACCTATATCTTCAATAAAAATACCTATTTTAAGAGAATTTACCAATTAATTCTTATATATATATATATATATATATATATATATATATATGTGTGTATATATATATTTAAAAATAGAGAAAATAACTTCAGTGACCGAAAATGTCTTATAATATACGATTTTAATCAATTTTTTTTGGATTTACGAAAATAACCAACAAATTCGCAACGCGAACTCCAATTTCGCAACACAGTTTCCAAATTCGCAACGCTAATTACCGACATAGGTAAACACTACTATCGCAACGCGATTTTTAAATTCGCAACGCTATTTTCACAAATTGAATTCGCCAATTTCGCAACTCAATTACTGATATAGGTAAACACGGTAGAAAAAATCCGGTAAAAAAATCCGAATTCGACAATTTGAAAACTGAGTTGCGAATTTGGTAAATGAATTGAACAAAAACGAGGGTATATTCATGTTTGTTCGTTAGTTCGTTTAACTTTAACCAAACAAACGAACTGTCAAAATGATTTTTTCTTTAAGAGGCGAGGTTTTACATTGCGCAACACGAATTTGTCAAATTCGCATCTCAATTTTCAAATTGGTGAATTCGGAGTTTTTTCCGGATTTTTTCTACCGTGTTTACCTATGTCGGTAATTAAGTTACGAAATTGGCGAATTCGATTTGCGAAATTCGCGTTGCGATAGTTGTGTGTACCTATATTGGTAATTAGCGTTGCGAATTTGAAAATCGCGTTGCGATAGTACTGTTTACCTATATTGATAATTAGCGTTGCGGATTTGAAAATCGCGTTACGATTTTCGAAACTGAGTTGCGAATTTGGAAACTGTGTTGCGAATTTGGAGTTCGCGTTGCGAATTTGTTGGTTATTTTCGCAAATCCTAAAAAATTGATTAAAATCATATATTATAATGCATTATCGGTCACTCAAGTTATTTTCTATTAAATATATATATATATATATATATATATATATATATATATATATATATATAATAAAAAAACACTATTGAAAGAAGTGAGGTCTCTTTTACTAGTTAACTCGAATAGTAAACAAAGGCTCGGTTAGTTACTTTTTCTATCTATAAAACGGCTGCCATAGTGCACAATCAAAGCAGGAAGGCCTTTCTTTTTTCCTCTCACTCTCTTAATAAAATTTCTGCCATGGAGACCATGCTGAGATCCGTGGTTACTTTCACGCTCTTCACTCTTCTGTTATCCCACATTTCTGGTACTTAATTTATTTTAAGTTGGTTAAAGCAACACATCTTGCATAGTTTTCTTAATGCATTTTATAACATTTGTTTTTGGTTACAAACAGTGGAGACATCAGCAACAACGATAACAGTCTACAACAAGTGCGGTCACCCGGTTTGGCCAGGGATCCAGCCAAGCGCTGGAAAGCTTCTTTTAGCCCGCGGTGGCTTCAAGCTTCCACCCAACAAAGCCTACTCCATGCGTCTTCCTCCCCTCTGGTCAGGTCGTTTCTGGGGGCGTCACGGTTGCTCATTCGACGCCTCGGGTCGAGGCCGCTGCGCCACTGGTGACTGCGGTGGCTCCCTCTTCTGCAATGGACTTGGCGGTGCTCCGCCAGCCACACTGGCGGAAATCACCCTGGGGAAGGACCAAGATTTCTACGACGTGAGCTTGGTGGATGGCTACAACATTGCCATGTCGATAATCCCTTTCAAGGGAAAAGGGAAATGCAGCTATGTGGGGTGCGTCAGCGACTTAAACCTGATGTGCCCCGTGGGGTTACAAGTGAGATCGAATGATAAAAAGCGAGTGGTGGCGTGCAAAAGCGCTTGCTTTGCTTTCAACTCGCCCAGATATTGCTGCATCGGAGACTTTGGGAATCCTCAGTCTTGCAAGCCAACTGCATATTCCAAGATTTTCAAGACTGCTTGTCCCAAAGCCTATTCCTACGCATACGATGATCCCACCAGCATTGCCACTTGCACACGCGGCAACTATTTGCTCACTTTCTGCCCCTATCGTCGCTAATCCATTCCTGTTTTCCATATACTATCATCAAATTTAGATGTCACGCCTACTACGTTCCTATGTCGTCTCTAATCTTTGTTTGTAGTGGATTTTATTAATAGAAGCATTATATTATATTACATGGCGAATTTATGTTTGCTTTTCTTATTAGATCTGCATAGACAGACAGGGAATATTTGTGTTAGTGGAGAGTAGGGACATGGGTCCTTCAGCACGTGAGTAGCATTTTATATCTTTGAATAAAATGACGGGGAAGCTATATATGTGGACATTAACGTTACGAGCACAATAGAATATTCATTGTGAGAATAGGTTTTTATTGTTGTTGTAACGTTATAAGCACAATTGAATACTCATTAAAGCTATATATGTAGCATGGACATTAACGTTACACGCACGATAGAATACTCATTAAAGAGAAGTTTTAAAAAAGCTGCGGTAGTGAGATATAAAAAGGAAGGTTGTTTTGGTAAATTGGGTTTCACGAGCTTCAATAAACTGGAAAACGGGCAGAGAGTGGGTGTCAGAGAGTTGAGGACAGCTACTGGCTTTGTTTGTAGGGTTTTGCCCTGGCGCCAGAGAGATGTTCGGGAAACAGGTAATAAGCTCTGTTTTGAAAACTGAATCGGACCGGCCGGTTTAATCGGTTTAACCGCGAATTGTTATTTAATCTGATTCAATCTAAATTGGTTGAACCACTATTAATGAATCGGTCAGAATCGCTATTAGTGAATCGGTCAAAACCGCTGAACCGTTCGAACCAGACCGACTGAAAATCGGAAAAAACCGAGATTTTTATTTAAAAAAAAAAAAAATTAAACCAAACGTCGTTTGTTAAACGAACCAAGTCGAATTCGAGTATTGCTGAGTTCGACTTGAACTTGAAAACTTTAAAAGTAAGCTCAACTCAAACTCACAAGCTAAAAATTATCAAGTTCAACTCAAACTCAAAATATAATATTGAAACTTGAACTCAAAAAGGCTTGAACTCAAAAAAAAAATTAGAAGCTCGATTGAAGCCTAAAATTCGAGCTTGATTGAAGTGAAAGAATATTTCACTCAATGTTCACCAAAAGGTTCCATGATTTTGAATGTCAAATTACCTCTATTATTTATAGAAGTTAGTTGTGATGCGCTTCTATGTTTCTTAGCAATGTGAGATTATTTTGTTCTCATATTTGTACTCTTTAGACTTTTGGGATGCTTTTCTATATTTCTTAGTCATGTGGATTGTTTTTTTTTTTAAAATTAAACCAAACAATATCATTTTGTTATAATTTTTTTAACCCCAAATTTATTTTTTAATTATATTATATAATTATATTTGTTATTTAATATGTTTTACCTTAAATATTATGTTGTAGTTAATTTGAATCATTTTGTTTCACTTGATTTTATGGTTTTTAACTTATATATGTTAGAATGACTTGTGATATAAAAAATTATTTTTATTAAATATTTTTGGTATTTTTATTTAATTTTTTAAAAAATTATGACGTCGTCCGGTTCTTTCGACCGATCGGACCGATTGAACCAGTAAACCGATAGTATGATCGGTTCGCTAACTGGTCCAGTTCTGAAAACCATGATAATAAGAGCATCTCCATCTCCAATGCTGCTCTACTGTAGCGAATTTCTGGTTGTGGAGTGCTATAGTCCTGCATTGGATCCATTGCTACTCTATAGATCGCTACAGTATCACGCTACATCTAGTGTGTTACTGTAGCAACGCTAAATTTTTTTTTTTAATTTTTTTATACATATATTTTTTTAATGATTAAATTAGATTGAAGTAGATTAAATTACAAATAGATAAAAACACATTGAAATTAGATAAATAAACATATTAATTTTTTGAAACATAAAAATAGAACAAACATAAAAAAATAGAATTTTTTTAATGATTAAATTAGATTAAAGTGGAATATATATTATTCGAAAAATTAAAAATATATAATTATGTAATTTATTTTTTCGTAATATTATTTATGAATGTTTTATTTATACTTTTTATCTTGATATTTTTTAGAAATATATATGTTTTATTTTATATTTTTAAAATCAATATTATAATAGTTAAATATTATAAATAAAGTAGAGTTAGTGGTAATGTAGAGAAAGCGTTAGAGATGAATTAATATTTTATCTCTATAATAGAGATAGAAATACGTTAGAATAAAGATGAACGCTAAAAATGACCTAAGAGTAGGTCACTTTTTTCTGGCATTGCACGATTCTTTCATTCCTTGTTTCTTCTCTTCACTTCATTGCATTTCTCTTCTCAACATTACTTTTATACTTTTATAATAAATGGGGTTATTTACAATAAAAGAAATGATTTTATTGCAGGAATCAAGTTATTAATAATAATAAAATTGTTGTTGCTTTTACATTATAAGATATTTGAATATCTATTCAATATTTAAGATTATAAGATATTTAAATATTTATTATTAAATAATTACTAATTTTGAGAATATATATTATGTGTTTTAGATTTAAAAATGGATTTAACTATGATAATATAAAATTCTAAAAAAATAAGAGCAAAGTTACAAGTAGGGATGGTAAATGGACAGGTCAGATGCGAATACCTCCTCTCCCATCCTCATACTCACCTAATATTTTTAAATCCACTACCCGTCCACCACCCATGATGGGTAAAATTTTTCAAATCCACACCCGTCCAAGCGGGCACATTTTCAAATCTATCCCCACACCCACTACCCAACTAGAGAAATCTCATTTAGATTCACCTGACAGCAACCTTAAGTTATACATAAGCAACAAACATAAAACAAACACTTCCATTAATAAACATAATAAAATAAACAAAGGATTATCTGAGTTAAGTGTTAACATAGAATTTAAAGTACATAAAACACCATAATAAAAGATAGTGACAGATATAGAAATTAAAAAATAGGGGTCCAAAATTTTAATACCCTATTCTAAAAAAATTTGGGTTTACAATTTTTTTTTTATTTTTTTCTATTCCTATTAACAAATTAAACTAAATTTAAAACATTCTCAAAATAATAGGTGTACAATGGCTCTCTTAGGGAGTCATGTACGAGCCATGTACATCCGCCCCTGATAAAAGACATAATTAAAGCCTAGAAACATAAATGACAAACACATAATATTTTTGTTCTTTGGCACACATAATATTTTTGTTCTTTGGCACACATAAATGACAAATTCTAAAATTATAACTAAATTTATAATGATCCAAAATTTAATAGATATTTAGTGGGTAGGCGGATGCGGAGCGGGCGGAGGCGGGATGAGTAAGGTCTTAAACCCATCACTCGTCGTACCACTTTCTAAATTCACATCCGCTCACTACCTATTAAAATTATACTCATCTTCATCCCAATTAAAACGAGTACGATATAAATCTACGAAATCCACGAAATTATCATCACTAGTTGCAAGGGCAGAAAAATATGATTACCTTGTTGTTTTCCGATTTTGCCGCCAACGCTAGCATCCCACCCCTCAAATTGAGCACTAAAATTAGCCACTTAACACCCTTGTAGTTCTTTAACCATTCCTCAAAAATCCATAAAAGAAAAAGACCATGCCCACCGCCCAAACAACACCATGGATGAGAATCTTCAGAGCGTGTTCAACCAATTCGACAAGAACAAGGACGGTAGATATCCGTAACGGAGCTCAGCGATGTCTTGACAGCGCTAGGGTCCTCCTCCCCCGAAGAGGAACTCAAACTCGTCATGGACGATATCGACATCGACAAAGACGGCTTCCTCAACCTCTCTGAATTTCTCATCCTCTGCAGATCCAATTTCGACAACGGCAACGCCGAAGGCGAGCTGCGCGCGGCCTTCGATTTGTACGATCAGGACAAGAACGGCCTCATCTCGGCCCAAGAGTTGCATTTGGTTTTGAATGAGTTGGGGATGACGTGCTCGGTTGAGAAATGCGTCAGGATGGTCGCTTCAGCTGATGCAGATAAAGATGGGAATATTAATTTCAAGGAATTCCGGAAAATGATGAAGAGCACGGCCAAAGAGTAACGACCACTAATCTAAGCCCTAGGATTTTGATTGGGTTCAGCCTGTGTTAATCAGAAGACATGGTTTATAGGTAAGTCCGTTTTGAGGTTTTGAGATTTTAGTGGTACGAGTGAATATAAAAATTAAGCCTATAATAATAAGTATTAAAAAATTAAAAAATTAAAAAATAATTAAATGAAAATTAAAAAGATAATTTAAAGTATTATTAATTTTTTAATGATAAATAAAAAATAAACAAAATATAACATTAATTATAATTTTAAAAAATAATAATTAGATGATTAAAACAAAAATAAAATAATAAGTGAATGATTACATAAATAATTATCTTTTTTTAATTATATATAAATTTATAATTTTAATCCTGACCAATGTACTGACGACGAATCTTTCCTAGGCTTATTACTTGTTGGATTCTCAGTCTCATGGAATGAATTTTAAAATTGGATTGGATACAATTACTGTATGACACTTTCAACTAAATATCATTACCATCCTTGAGAAAATTCTATGGTATAGAATTGATTACGTTAAATTAGTATCCTGCGTATTGCACTCTCAGTCTCATGCGATTGTTGTTGGGACGTATATGCTGGTAAAGAAATATAATGACATCTACAAAGGAAAAAAAGACGTTTGTGCCTTATTGTTACTAATGCCATTCATCCATAATGAAGGCCCGTTTTGAAGGTGGCAAAGAAGATGAGGTCACGACCATGGCTGAACCCATGATCAGTTGACCACACAAGGCATCAATTCTGAAGGACCTTGTTTATAAACTTCAGGACATCTGTCCTCTTTTTCATTTTATAGGGACAAGGGTCGTAAAAGAACAAATTTTTCATATCAAGTCACCCCGATTTAATGTAACATGGATCTCTAACTCCATCCTCCATCTTGAAGAAGTATATTATATATACTTGAGGGAGATGTATAGGGGTAGTTCAAAAAAAATATTGTTTTAAGATTCTTGTTACATTTTGATTATTTCACAGAATCAAAAAGGATAAAATTCGAGAGTAGTTAAATTACATTGATAAGAGATGAACAAACTGTTTTTGCATATGCTTATTTTG